CTCCTTTTTTGGAAGTATATGAGGATTCAATAAGTAAACGAAGTAAAGGTCGAGCTTAAAATGACTCTCTTATGACTCTCATGTGAGTTTAATAAAGGTTACTACGTCATGCTAATCTGTAGCCACGAGCTAACTTAATTGAATGTGAAGGAAAACGCGCTTAAAATATTAGTTTGCTAACTGAGATAGGAAACACCGAAATGAAGGCATGAGGGTGATTAAGAATGAAAAATATTGGTACAGATTGCAAATTTCCGACTGAAATATTGAGGCTCAATTTTTCACGACTTGTGAAGTGTAACGCACGCAATGGGCACATTGCTGATAAGGCTTTGGGAGTCATTCTCGGTTGTTTCATCTAGTCTCAGTTCACTTATTTCATACTAAACGCGGCGGTCAAGTTCGGGGGACTAAAGTTCAACGAACAGGTCTATTTATGGGTGCAATCAATCGATTATTCATTTACCCCATGAATGTCGAACCCGTTTTTTCGAGGAGACATATTTTTTCCATCCATGATAAAAGAGTAAACTGAATTTTATGTGCCATAGCTAAACAGCTTCAACAATGCGAGTGAAGAAAAAAAGCTTAAGCTAACGGAAAGCAGGACATTCAAATTAATCTACAATTATAGCTATCTTGAATTTGGTAAAAAGGATTTGTTTTTTTTTCAGTGGTTGAAAAAACAGCGTGGTAGCTGATCCCCTCAAGGGCTACGATGATTTTCTGACATCTCTTTCATAAAGTTCTGCTTAAACAATGAAGTGAGGACACGTTCCGTCAAGTACTCTCGAGCGAAAACGTCCAAAACTCCACAGGCCCAATTTTTCCTGTTTAAGAAATCTCAGACTCGCACAGACTGAAAGGCATTTGTTTTGATATTCGTTTAATATCTTGTTATTTTTTTTACAGATAAACCAGCCTTCCCTCGAAATCAAAAGAATAAAAATGCATTTTGAAATCTATAAAATAAATATTTTTGCTGGTTCCCTAAATCTGGTACATAATAAAAAGACGGAACGAACTATAAATTTAAATCGCCTTTTTTTCACCAAAATATTTTTGTTCAAACGATGCTTTTAAAATTAAACACATTTGAACTCTTCTCAAATTAAACCATCTACGTTTCTTTACAACCCTAAACATTTTCTAAAGTTCCGAATATTTGGAGCGTTACAAAATTTGGAGAAATCATATGACAGTGAAATGACTTTAAAAAAATTAATAAAAAAAAAACTCTCGCTCGCAATATCCTCCTAGAGCTTAGAAACTCCGAACTGAACAAATTGCATCGGCTATGCGTATTTCTTCTGATCACAGTGTTGAATGAAATAATTCATATTTTCTGAAATCTTAACAAAACGTTTCAGCGATACGATTATTTTTTTTTTCGAAATAAACTATTTCGAAAAGATAGATTTCTAAGGCAATGCCAAAGAACTGAAAACTGTTAAAATGCAAAGCGGTGGGTCCATCATCCGCCGCACAGTCAATGCCGAGGATTTTTCAGTTATATAACTTGATTTGATTTCTTTAGAGTTAAAGGGAACTCATGATAGCATGGTGACTTGATCAGTTACGTAATGAGGAAAATGTTAAAACAGCTTCAAAACGACCAGCTTATTTTAAAATGTGATATGTAAAAAAGGCAGCAGTAAGGTTCTTGAGCGGTTGAAATGAAAATAGAATAAAAAAAAATTAGCCATCGTTCTTTGATCATGTCCACAATCCTCAAACGTTTTTTTTTAAGCTCGTGATGGCAGTTCATATGTCAGATTCTTGTAATTCAAGTGAGCTACGCAAACTGCCCTCTTCAAAGTTTGTTACTGCTCACAACAGTGTCTCTTCAATCGGTTTTGCCGCTTCGATCTTCTTTTGAGCCTTTTCGATCATTTTTCGTTGTTTAATCGCAGTTATGAAGTAGTGGGGGTATTTCTTGATCAAAGGCCTAATGAAATACACCAGAACTTGTCTTGTGGCTTCTTTTGCTTGTTGCGCACGATTCAGCAGGGAATTCCAAAGAACGTCTAGTTTTACAAGGCCAAAACCATAGGCACACACGGACATTTCGTACTGAAGAAGGGAAGAAATTGAGCTGGCCAGAAGAAAATTGTCGGTGTTTAATCCAAGACCTTTGAACATCGCGTGCACTTCTAGGTAGGTTCCGGTTGAGGGCACGCCAATCTTGTCTTGTAGGTTCTGGAGACTCTCAACTTTCTTGATCACTTCCATTAATTCGTCCCCGTCGGGTTCGATTTTGTCAGAAACTACACTTTGAATCTCTTGGATTTCTGTGGAAACATCTGGGACTGCGATGTTTTCGCCCATGGCGTCTATGACTCCTTCTACTCCAACATCAGGGCTTCCATCGTCTTGACTGACTAGCTGTGGAACAATTTCCTCGGCGTTCAGGTTGTCCACTACTGGTGGGGTTAGAAGGATCTCTATCGGCAGAGGCTCCTGCTTTTCTTTTTCTTCTTGTCGTTGTTTCTTCTTCTTCTTTGATCGTCTGAATGTCAGACTACGTCGGAATCGGCTCTTAGACTTTTCCTTTTCGTCCTCCAGAGTTTTCGTTTGTTCATCTTCTGTTAGTTCATCGCCAGAACTTGGAATTGGCAACTCGCTAGCGGTGACGAGCGAGCGATGTCGTCTGTGTCCATTCTTCTTCTTATCTGGTTTAAGAGTTTCTTGTTCAGGAGTTTCTTGTTCAGGAATTTCTAATTTTGAAGTTTCTGGTTGTGGAGTTTCTTCTTTAGGAATTTCTGGTTCAGAAACCTCTTCTTTCGAAGTTTCGTCTCCCTTTTTATCACTTTTCCAATGAAACATTCCAGCAAGGCCTCGCTTAACGGAAAAGCTCTCTGCCATGTTCACTTGAATAGCTACAATGACATAAAAACAGATGAACTTTGGTAGCAAGAATTTATGTATTCGTCCTTATATAGCAGAATGAGTTCAAACGTGCTAATTCCCTTACTGATGCAATGCATTACAAATAAGCGTGCCGCTCACCAGTGGAGCACGTTGATTGGACAAACATACGACAAGTGAAACAATTGCTTCGTTTAGATTCGGCAGTCTCGATCAAAGTTCACATAGTTTGTTGTCGTAACGAATTTGTCAATTGAACTTTAATATGAAAATAAATTGAACATTGTTCGCTGAAAGGTAAAATACAGAATTATCTCCTTGTTGGTCGTACGTAGTTCCTAAGATTACATTTCTCCCATGGCGTACAATCCGATTGCATGAGAAATGCACTGAAACCCTTTGTAGGCAAAGAAAAAATTCACATGGAGCCTTAACCTTGTACAAACAGAGCGTCACGTTAGTGGCAGAAATTTTATTGAAGTTAGGTTTTATTATGAGTTTTTTCTTTCGTTGCAATAAAAAAAGTAACCAAGATTGTGTTACAGTGTTTTAAGCCGCTGTCACCATTTTTTTTTTGACAGTATCGGTCAAAAAAGAAAAAATTTCAGGTCAAGAGAGTGTAGTAAGGATTTAGAGTACATTCTTGCAACCAACACCACCATCAATATATGATGAGACGTAAGGAGAATCTGTATTTTGACGAGAGGGTCCAAAGAACCGAAGTCAAAATAGATTATGTAAATATTCCGTGATAAAGCTCAACCAGAAGTTTCGGTTGGAACATGACCCTTGAAAATGACCCGAGAATGTTTCAGGTGTTGAGGTAAATGCTTGTCATAACTCGAACTCAGAAAAAATAAAAACGCAGTCGTCTTCATGAAGTTCCATACTCTTTTACCTTGGACTTTTTTTTTTGTCTGAGTTCAACGTATATATGAGAGAATAAATTTTTTAGCTTTCTTGAGAATGCTTGGAGATTAAGTCAGAATATTTACGTAGCGGTTAAACCTTTGAAACGATGGGACGTTCAAGTACGATGGGAAACGCGAGGTAGGCACGCGACAAGCTCGAGTCCGATCATAAATAATGCGTTGACCTTTATAAAATATTCGTTTGGACCATTGCATAATATGCGGCTGTACCTAATCTCGGATGTTTAGATAAATGAATGCTTCATCATTGGTCCACCGCCAACTGTTATCGTGACCATTCCATTCCTTCGCCGGAAACAGGGTCGAATTCAGCTATGGGGAACGTGCATAGATGGCCTGCAATTTTAATTAGCGTCCTCCCCCTTTCCCGCCTCTCCGAACAGAAACAACATGCACATGATTGGAAACGTGCCCAAGACTCCTTAAATCTTGAGCTATAACTGTGTTTTTTCTCTGCCGACCTTGCGATTGATTGTCAATTGTAGCTTTTGTACGCTGTTAGCAGTGCGATTTGGGCGCTATCTTTAGTGTATTTAGAGTCTCCCACATAAATCGAGTTTTGATAAAGCGATATATGCTATTATTATCCAACTGCGATATATAAAGCGGTATGTTATTATTATTCAACTGCACAAAGCAGAGTAAGAAAAAAACGCTTGAATCGAGTACAAACATCCTGAGATATATTGCATTGTAGAAAAACCTGTTTAACCAGTCGGCTGCGCGCGCTACGCTTTTCCATGTGCTTCGCTTTTTCCCCTTTCTAAGACATGCACATGAAATAAGCATTTGGATAATAACTTATAAGACGTTTTTGTGTGTAGTATCGCTGAGTATAAATTGCTCATCGCTCATCAAAAAAGAAAAGAAAAAAAAAGGGACAAGTATTTCTTGGAACGAAATTTTCGTACTCGCTTTGCTAACATGAAGTTGTAGAAACTCTTGTTCATTTACGCCATAGGCGCCTTCAAATCGTGTTTGAAAAAGAGCGGGAAATCGTGACAAGACGAGGTTTTTTCGTTGTTCTTCCTATGTATCCGTACGATCCCTATTTCGTTCATTTATTTGCTCATCAATTCGTAGTCTATTCCTTGCCTGCCTACTCGTTCGTTAGGCTTACTCATCAGTCTGCCGATCTTCGAACTCCTTTAGTTGCATTCAATGCGGAGATAAATGATTGCGTGAACTACACAGAAACGCTCATTGAAAGATACAGGTGTTGTTTATTTTGCTATTGTTTTTTTATATATTTTCTGTCACGCAGGCTTTTGATTACATCCATCTCAGATGACTTCCAGTCATCTTTTGGAATGCAACTCAGGGGAAAGCAAACTCAGTTGTACTGTATTTGTAAAGCTGACCTCTAGATTTTTATAGAAAGTACATTATTATGACAAATTCACATTCCTCAAAATTCCTTCTTGAAAGTTTGACTTTTGTTAAAATGTAAACATATCTTACGCTTTTGGAAAAAAAAAGCAATTTGAACTAAGTTACAAAGTGATTGCGCGTTTTGTAACAACTTTTGTTCGCTCAAAATTCTCAAAATGAACCTATTACGAAAATGCTTAAAAAGGAACAAGCGATCTTTCATTTTCGACTGATCCTACAGTTAATTTCTAAATAAAAATAAACTTAACAATGCTATTATGTTTCATTATTTCTCAGTACGAAATACGCTTCGTATCTGAGAGTGTTTGTTCAAAATAGTTTCGTAATACTCCTCTGTAATTGATGGATTTCCCTTCAACCATCCTTTCTTGAAGTTGTTCAGAGAATAAGGCAAAAACTCTCCGGTTCAACTTCTTTGTAAGGTGTGCATTTCCTTCTTAAATAAAGTGTTCGTTTCGCATCTTCCTTCTCAAAATCTCGAAGATTGAGATCAACTATTGTCCATTCTCCGATTGATGAGAAAAATACTGAACTCTCAGCTACCCCACAGACACTATGAACTGGATTTGGAACCGATCCGCGGCAAGCATCGGCGCTTTTAGAACTAGCTGGGTTTTCGTCGCTTGTGTCCTGTGTCTTTCCATAATAGCAGTTCGGTTTGTATTTCTCCATTTTGTGTCTGATGCCGTCCGATTTCGTTCTTTCCCAGAAATGAAGATTAAGATTTACATATTCAAAATCTCCGTTTGGGGTTTTAATCTTTGGATGTTTGTCAGTGTGCAGCTGTGTGATTTCCACCGGAATCAAATCGTGCGTTGTCCGAGTTTTTATTTCAGTAATTAACCCCTCGTCTGAGCCATTAGTTCTCAAAACGGTGGTTTGATCCTCGTGGAAGTTATGATTCCACTCCAACTGACAACTAGGGGTTGCTGAACAGTCGCAGTGAGAGTTGTTTAGATCGCCGAATGGCAACTGGTGTTTAGTCATTACTTGCGGAAACCTTCAAGAAAATGAAAACAGATTAAAATGCAGATTCAGTCGCTTGGAATAACAACGTGTAATGTAAGTCAAAAATAGCAGCAAAGAAAATGAAAAATCAATGTGCTTCTTTTCATTGCTGATTACATTGTTCGTGGTTATTCCCATTGGAATTGCAAACGAAATGTTCTAATCTAATTTGGTTCTCAAATGTTCGCATTTACCGCCTGGTTTGGGTGATGTAGAAGCAGAACTGCTCTTTTTATCGAACTGTTGGATTGAAAGATGCTTGTAATCAGAGAGACAAAAGAGAACAGGACAAAAACTAATAAAAATTTTAGTAGCAATTGACTACCAGCCTCTATGAGGCTATTGAGCCTAGGCCTCCGCCTTCTCCTTTCCTACATCCCCTTCCCGCTTCTCGCGAGGATCGAAACGAAAACACCGAAAAACGACGCTAATGTTACAAGCCAGTGAGAGATTTGAGATAACCAATAAAAGAGGAAGGAAAAACCTTTAATGAGAAGGTGCAAACTACCAGTCGTTTTATAACTATTGATAATCCTCCTCCTGTGAATATCAAACCGGTTGCCACTTATTTGCACTTAGACACGTCAAATTGTTTCAACGCCTCCAATCGATTTTTCTCTCAAGGATCTTGCGATTTAAGAGACATCATGAGTTAGAGGATGGTAACCAATTTCAAGCTAATTTTAGCTCATATGACAACTCATGTCGCTTCCCGTTCTACACCCTAACATCAGTATGCATATTCTCCATACTGTTCCATTCATATTTCCTAAGGTGCTGACAAGGAGAATTTGCCTAACAATCAACAGCTTCTGTAATCGACGATCATTTCCATTATTCTCGCGACCTTAATGTTTGAGTCAGGGGTGATATTGTAAGGAGAAATTGGATGTTAGTCACTCTGAGGGGTTAAAGCTCTTACTGGTGCTTTCCTATTGCTGACTTTTTTTACACAAATTATATTTTCACATCGGGAGAGGACGACATATAGATCGAATAAAACTTTGCGGCGACTTGAATACTATGTACATGAAAATGTATTGTTTTCATGAACCCATTTAGAATTTTTCTTGGCAGGAAAGAATTAAGGAATTGCGTCAGTGACGGCTAGTGTAAACCAATTTTAGGGGCGAAGAACATCGGCAATATTTCGTCAAGATCAGATTAAGGACCGCTGGGAAATTATTTCAATTTCAATAAAATCTCGAGCAGAAGGCAATGCGAAGATTAAAGAGGTAATATATTTTGACTGAGCGCCAAATTCTCAAGCCTTCAACCATAACAAGGAGATCTTGAGAGGTGTCAAATTGATGATGGTCGCGTGATCGCCCACCTGAATGTCTCCGTTATAAAAATACTTATTCAATGATGTATCAATGTTACAGACAGTTTATATAATAGCAAAATAAAAGTTAACACTACTCTGAAGTAGGGAAGAATATTATCAAACAATCGTTTCCATAACTAAATTTGGAGGACAAATTCCGAGTCATTAAAAGTCGATCAGTAATTTAATTTGCAAGGTAAAGGTCTTTCAAGTTCGGTATTGTACACAACGTAAAACTGAAGAAATTTCTGCTTCAGGGTTAGAGCTAGAATAAAAAAAAAACAAAATGCTCTCAATCAAGTATTGCTAAACTGATGCAAAATGCTATTTTTTTCGAAAGTTTTCACTCTTAAAATTCAAAACACAAGTTGGACTTCCTGTCGCGAAGTTTGAATTGAAGTTTAACACGTGAAAGGTCGCGAAGTTTGGACTGGAAACCATATTAAATATGCGTTCGTTACAACGAAATACTTCTGAGTAAACGACTCTTTTTCGAAGAAGGATACGCAAGATTTTCAAAGATTAATATATGGAAAGAGATAAGCGTACCTGTACGAGACGGCTTGGGCAGATATTTCTGATGTGAAAAGTATACTGCTATTAGTGGCGGCCTGATGCAATGTTGGCGGATTTCTTTAATTTAGCTCACGATCTCTGAATCATCTGAAGCAACAGTCTTACATCTTTCACTGCAACACCTTATTGCTAATTTCACTTCCTTGTTTCTTATTCATGAGTGGAGGATAAAAATACGTACTGATTCCCTTTCTCTTCGTTTCTTACTCGTGACTTACTCGTGACTAAATTCATTTGTTTACATTTGGTACGCCTATCACTTCTAAGTCAAATTAAAAGCACAGATATTTTTCAAATTTTTCACTGTACTTACCATTTCTTCCTATGGAATTCCGTTTAGACAACGAAGGTCGACTACGAATTCGTTCAATTACTTAGAGAGTGAATCGATAACCTCGGGTATAAACAGGAACTGAACTTTACCCGAGTGAGTGTCGCGCGCGTAAAATTTTATCACAACCACATACCACAAGTGTAACGTGCGCGTTGCTGACGGACCTGATATCACAAGGCTTCTTCGGTTGACAAGAAAGTCAAGGCTAACGTCTTCGGGATAAAAGAAGAAAGAAATACCAAAACGAAAAAGGATAAAAGAGAGCTTTCTATTCATCTGTAACTTCAGTTCAGCTCGTGAAACGTAATTTAACCCAACTTTAAAGTCAATATTGTCAATGGAATGTTAACTGATGATAAGGTTCTCGTAATTTCACGATATTTTAACGGAAGTACCTAAAATACTGACGAATGAACTTGACAGCCTACACTTAATTGTGCACGTGGCAGAAAACCCCTAAGATTTGGTATGCTAATTATTTGGAGTGATAACATCCCCCTCAACAAGTTCTCTCTGCTATTCCCCTCTTGTGCCCTGTCCTTTCCTACCCTCCTCCCCTACCTCCTCCCCTACTCACTCCTCCCCTACCCCCCTCCCATACCCCCTCATGTACCCCTCCTTTTATTCCATTCTGCAAGGATAAGAAAGTGCAAAAATTCCTATATTATAATGATGGAAAATATTTTAAAAATGCACTTTTTCCACATTTACCTTGAGGGCAAAATATAAACTCTTGCAGCACAGGGTGTGTGAATACAACTGTCTCTTGGTGTGTATAGTTATCCTTTTACAACTTGACATCAGTATGCATAGTCTCCATACTGTTCTCTTTACATTTCCTAAGTGTTGACAAGAAGAATTTGTTTAACAATCATGAGCCTCTTTTCTCATTTCATTTTATCCTTGTGACTCAGGGGTGATACTGTAAAGAGAAATTAGATGCTCACTCTTAGGGGTTACAGGGTTAAGGCACAGAGTGGTGTGAATAATGTAACTTCAATGAACACAACACAGTTTAAAGTTATTGTCAAAAAAGGTTACAGAATATCAAAGTCTATTACTGGTTTGGTTTCTTGCTACAGACATAATAATTTTACTAAAGTCTTCCCTAAAACCACCATAACTTCCATATCAGGGTTCAGATAACTATCTTAGTAACACAATTTGATCAATTTTGAACAAACTTTTCTTAATTTTATCAGGCCGCTGATATTTATTGCCTAATTAGGTCACTGGAGGTGGAAATCAATAACACTTGATGCTGTACATAATAAAACTAAAGTTTTAGTTCCTTCAAAAACTTAGACAAAGCGGATGTTTCTTTTTGGTGGCTAGCGATGTCCCTGGTACAATCAGTAATCAAATAATAATTTTATATCCCTGGTGCAGATGAAGCTGCAAAGGAGATATGATTTATACTTTCCAACTTAAACATGATTATCAAACCCTTTAACTCCCAGAAATGATAAACATCTTCCTATAGTATCCAAACATTATCCAGTAAACAGGTAGTGAGATTACTCAAACTTATCAAGTACAAGATAGTATCTTGATGGAACACCAAATTCTTGTAACCAATTCACAAGGAAAGGTATAGAAGCAAGAGGAGAGAGTTAATGATCAGATCTTGGGAGTCAAAGGGTTAATTGAGCAGAATTGACATTTCCCTTGTGATAGAAAATTGTACCCTCTTGGAAATTCTACATAAATAGTTCTGGCAGTTGTTTTAGGATGGGTGCATTCAAGTCACAAGCAAAACCAGTAGAGGGAATAATTTTTCAGACAAACTCAAATACTTACAACATATTTAGAATTTTCACTAAAAAAATGATGGTATTTCTTTAAAAGCACAGGGAATCCCAGTAACTAAAGTGACCAGAGCCACTCCTATCTCTCATCATGATATTGCTCTTTATTTGGTTTGAAAATTATAATTGAATTTTATGCACCTCTAATAAACCAATCATTTAGTCACTTGAAGTACTGGTCTCAGTTAATAAAATAAACTAGTAAGTACCCTGAGGAAAACTTATTTAATAGGGCTAACTGTACTATTAGGTTACAAGTAAAATCATGTGTTTTCCATGAAACTAGCTAGCCAATAATTGTGTCATAAGCCTATTGCCTAATTGAAATCCTCAAAGGATTTAATACCTCCCCTTTCGGATATCAAATGTGCTTTAAGCATTAGCGCAACCAATTCTCGAGTACTGTCACATGCTTTGTATAGGAACAACAATGGAGCAGTTGTTAACATAAGATCTTTATCTATCCAGTCTTTGCCCTCTTTTACAAAACCTAGAGAGTTTGCTTGACAATCTATCTAAAGAGCAAGTACTTATTTATAATAGTAAATGTACCTATTACAATTTCTCTACTTTCTCTCGCTAATAAAAGATATACAAGGCTTTCTCTGGCCCAATTCCCATGTATGACGCAACTTTAGTATCTACTTTCATTTTCTTGACATTTGAGGTCATTTTGAAATGAAATAAATTAATATATCTCATACCGCTTTTTCACAACTTCTACGTTTTGCAATCTAAACGATGGAAATCAAGGAACCTTCCGTGGATTTACTTGATCAAGAAATAAATTAATGCTTCTTCTAGTTCACATAACACAACAACATACTTGATCTTTTCCATAAACTGAACTCAAAAGAAGCAAGTTCTCGTTCACTTCGTGGGTAGTCTTGTTCATGTCTACATAGATCCATTCTTCGTATGCCTTTTTGGCGTCTGCTGAAAGTTCTGTTGATCTTTCCATCGACGATTCCGAATAATCGGCAACATCCTGATCTGTGATAAAGACTGGCTCGTCTCTTCCAAATCCAAATTCCAGTTCCTCATCGTTACTATCAGCTTTTAATGGAGTTGTTTCTTCTGTAACTTGTTTTATTTCGATATCGATATGATCCTCATCTGGATTATCATCAACTTTAAGATCAACGTTTTCGATAGTTTGCGTTTCTGATCCACTTGCTGCCATATATATACTTTATCTCAGATCAGTACAACACACCAATGTTCGAGCGTAATCGCGTCACGACTTGTTCCTCGCCTTTCTGTACGGCACTTTTACTATCTGTTCGTTCTTAATGCTTAAAAAACTTCAGGGAAAGTTTTTTCTTGATTCAAAATACTGCCCACTACAGCTCTCTAAAACTTTTCAAAGAAGAGATTGATCTCAAATCTTACTCCTCGAAGCGATTTGCGTTCTCTATGTCGAAGCATAAGTTGCCTTTAGCCTCGTTTTGACGCTTACACGTCACGTGAGTTAGGTCACGGATGTGATCACGCAGATGTCACGCAAAAACCTTCCGATCACGCATTTCATAACAGAACGTAAATTTGCTCTGAAATCGTAGCTTTGGTTGCATTTGATTTCCCGAAGAACCAACCATCAAAGTCTCTTTGCGAGTTAGCACTAAAACTTCGAACCTCAAATACCAGACATACCAAGGTTTATGTCATCATAACAATAAATAAATTTTTTTCAGGGATGAAGTCAGCTCAACTCTCACAACAAAACCCTCGATTAAGAACTAGACGACAGGTGACAGGACGGTGCAATATCCATTATAAGATTTTGATGGTTTTCATCGCTTTTGCTCGGTTCAAGTAGCGTTGCGTGACGTGTCTAAAACCGTCTGCAAAGGAGATTTAACCCATTCAGAAACTAAACCTAATCTCTTGCCCAGTTCTCTCACGTTAACGTAGAAGGTGGCATTGTCCGGGAACACCCGACCAACAAAACCTTGAATTCTTCAAACGCCAGGCGAATTTTTAAAAGTTGTTCACAAGTTCAGAAAGTGACACAAAAGTACGATTACATAGTTTTTAATAGCAAATTTTCATTACAAATTCACTCAAACCCGGTTTCTTTCAAACACCGGCACGAAGGGATACAACTAAGTTTTCTTTTAAAAGAGATGACACTTGAAATGCATGGCGGTTACTCATTTTAATACTAATTGAACGATGAAATCGAAAATAACCCCAGAATTCCTAGCTATTGTTTCAACTACATAATGGAACACTTTCCACCTCGTCCACATCCCATGCATTTTACAGTTTTTTCGTCAAGTTCGTCAACACTCCGTGTTATTTCTCGCCTTTCATTCTTCAAGCTTTTCTCCGACAGCAAATCAACGTCTTCAAACTCTGCCTCCTCTAAGCTAACGGCTTCTTCAACCGGTGATTCTTTCTGTTTTAATGTGTACGTTTCTTCCACGATTTTATTTTCAAACACGAGCGCGGAAAGTTCGGGTTTGAACGAAGATTTCACGACATCATCATGAACACTATCTCGTGATTCGACACTCTCATTCGATTTCCGAGAGGCGTAAAAATCTTTCCCGAGCGACGATTCAATCAGGAACTTCGGCTTGTCGTTCTTTGATTTCGATTTTGTCGTTTTTGAGGCTTCAACTTTAGGTTTCTTCTCGCTTTCAAACGGAGCTTTTCCGAATTTGTCTTTGTTGATGTCCTTTTTGGGTGGCTCTTTGATGTTCTCTGTTTCGTTCGGTTTTTCAGGTTCTTTTTCAACTTCCTTCTCAGGTTCTGAAACAAACCCAGGTTCTTCTGAATCAGGACTTACAATTTTTCGTTGTCGACTGCGCGAGCGCCTGGCATGCTGAGCGTACTCACCCAATGTGTCAATCGCGGGTCCTTCGTTCTTTGTTGCCTCTTTCTCAGTCTTTTCGTCAACTTGTCTTTCAACAACCTTTTCAGTTGGCATTAAAATTTTCAAATCTGGTGTCTTTTTCTTGTTCTCCAATATGGCAGTTTCCTTTTCCTTGTTTTTAGTTGCTTCCTCTGTGACATCTGCGCCAATTTGGACAACATCTTTTCCAGCCATTAAATCTTTGATACCAAGTTTGGCTTTCCCATCGTCTACATCTTCTTTCGTTGACGGTTTTTCCACAATTTTCGTCTCATTTGGTGACTCATTTTCGTTGCTGGCGGGTTTAAGAACAATGTCATCAATATTGACCTTCTCTTTAAAGTTTTTGTTGTCATCCTTCACGGAGAAAACGTAACTATCATCCAGTTCTAGTTGGTTTTCTGTGTTGATGTCGGGAGCATAACTTTTCAACACTTCACTGATTAAATCCTCTGCTTCTTTTGAATCCAGCATCTGCAGCTCCGAGTCATGCGAGTTCTCTTCAAGTTCCTCGATTTCTTTTTCTTGTCTCAAAAATTCCTCGTCCTCCTCCAAATCTGCGGCCGGTACAACCACTTCAATGGGCTCATCGCGAAATATTTGTTCCATTTTCCTCGCCTCGGAGAAAATGTACTTATCCAGTGGCGATTCTGAAGAGAAGTTTTCTCGTATTGGAGTACTGGGAGGGGTAGCAGGCTCCTTGTCGAAAGAAGGCTGCCTACCACCAAAAGTTGGTATTCCTGTTCTGGGCTTAGAGGCAACCTGCTCGTGTCCATTGGGTAAGTTCCCCACGGACTTTTGCGTGGCTGCATGCTTCGGGAACGAAGGAATTTTGCTCTCCACGGGCGAAGACGCCGCTGTAGGATTACCTGTAGGCACGGTTTCTTTCTCTGCGCTTGAGGTTTTACGCGTTAATTTGTCGCCAGCATGACCTGGAATCTTGCTGGATGGTGTCGATTCGCCAGACTTCGGAATCCCACTTGTCTTCGATGCGATTGGAAGGGAACTTGATGGAGACTTAGCGGCGATTTTAGGTTCTGGAATCTTGGACCCTCCTGCTGTAGGAACCTTTGTCTCGGGGGTCGTATCGGACGGTGTGGAAGGGGTTGTTGGAGTGCATGACGAGTTCCCGGGGGGTCCATCCGGTTCTGTAGCTTTGGATCCTACCACAGTGGAAAGTTTTGATTGGGGTATTTTAGTTCCAGGGGATGCTGACGGTGATTTAGTAAAGGATGGAATGCGGCTGACACCCATAGGAATGCCGCTCCCCTGAGGGGAGGAAGATGCATTGGGTATCTTACTTTGGGTACCAGTAACAGGAGAATGTGCCTCTCCTCCATTCTGCGCCACCTGCCCTTCATTCTGGCTGTCTTTGCGAGTCACGGAGGGTATTCTAGACTTGGGAATACCAGACTTGGAAAAAGACGGAATTTTACTGACTTGCTTGGCAGGTTCATGACCATTTGGTGCACTTGTAGGATCTTTATTTTCTTTAGCAGAATCAGGTCTGTTGTGTGAGGATGTTGCTGATGATGATATTTTGCCTCCTGTCTTGTCTTTCTGCAAAGCGCCCTCCTTACGTCCTGTTGTGGGTATTTGGGATTTATTTGAGGACGGAATTTTGCTCTTCGGAGGAGTACGTTCCTCAGCGCCATTTTTCTTTGTGATTGAAGGTATGCGGGAAACGTGCGAGTCTGTTTTTTCAGCGCTTCCTGGCGACCGAACGAGCGATGGAATCTTCGACATCTCACTGCTGCTTCCCGAGCGGGAGCGACTACTCTCTATTGAACTCTTAGAAGGAGAGTTACTCAACGAACTTGAAGTTAAACTTCGATTACTAGATGTTCTGTTTATATTGCTTCCTGTATCCTCGTAGGTTACAATCGGCGAATTAGTTCTTAATTTACCTCGCGGCCGGACAATGTCACTTTTTTCTCTCCTTACACTCGGCGATGCACGATTTTTAGTGATGTCACTACGTTCACGTTGAAGTCCGGCTGGCGATTGTGAACGCGGGCTCGGTATAGTACCGTTTTCCCGTTTTAGATTAGAGGATGAATTTGAACGCGCGCTACTCGGGGTAGAGTTGTTATTATTAGCTGGTGATTGCGTTCGACGTGGTCTAACAATGTCACTTTTCTCGCGGCGGAGGCTTCCGTTTCTAAAAGAGTCTTGAGACGTCTGAGTAGACCTGGAGGCCGGTCCTGTTTTTTTAGGTGTAGAAAAACTGGCGCTGCGTCTCGGTCGCGCACAACTCTTATCCTGAGCGTTATCCTGTTTAAAACCGCCCTGATTTGACTTAGCGACTGGTTTTACAATGCGTGTTTTATTTGACGCTTGGCAACCGTTGTTGACTGATATAAATAGCGGATAGCGACTTGAAAAATCGTTCGAATCGTGGGACTGCTCTGGTAATGAGCACACACTATCAACTGTAGTATCAATACAATCACTGCCTGATCCGCTGCTTAATTTGGATTCTGATGCAGTTGTTCCGTTACAGTTCACTCCGTTAAGACGATTATCACTTTCGCTCTCGCTGCGTTTTCTCTGAGCTTGACAGAAGTCCCCTGACCTACGCCTAAGATAAGGTCTTTTTCTGAGCGCTACATCACTATTGCTCCTTCGGACTTTCTTTGGTTCAGGAACTCTTTTGGGCGGGGCTGGTCTAAACTGAATCTGGGGTACAGGTGATATTCCAAAGCTGGGGCTGGCACCAAAGATGGCGGACGCGTTCCGTGCTCTGCTCGATGGTTCGGGGAGACTGAGAAAAAAAAACAAAGGCAATTAATTTTGTTGGCTGGCAAGAAACAGTCATGGTTGTTTGCAAGTCGCTCACTTAAAGGATTAGTTAAACCTCTTTCATTAAATTCTTTTGTTGTTTTTTCCCTTTATTTCATCCCAAGCAGTTATGAGTTCATACATTTTTGATCCTTTGTCATCACAGATCTTTTCTGGTACTAATAAAAGGCTGGGATAAATCTCGAACCAAACAAACATTTTCACCCCCGAACCTAAACATAGCACGCAAGTAGATTAAAAAATGTCACTAAATTACCAACGCCACTGAGATGAATATCTCCGATATTGAGGTGGAAAACTCAGATTATGTGCATCATTAAATCGTTCAATCACAAGGAGACGTTAAATATAGTCTTTAGAATATAACCAGACAAAATTACAAAGCCTTTCTGTTGATTTTCCAAAGGACTAGAACAAATGCACGCTAAAGAGTTTATTTGTTTTGTGCATCGGTGCTTTTCCGGTTAAAAACAATTTTTGTAAAGTTCTGCCATGTGCCCATACATATGAAAAATGCAAAGTAACAACAGAACTGGCGAAAATTAAACGATCAACTTTCTAAAGGCCCTCAAGCTGTTTTGCTTGCCTTGAAAACGTGCCAATCTAATCTGAAAACATTTCTTGCAAATTACTTGAAAAGACAATGACAGCGTTTAATCACTTAATAGAGTTTAATTCACTAAAGTAAATGACTACTTCGTTAAGAAGGCGTAACTTTGATAAAAGTTTTAGAAAGAACTCGAAAAAAGTTTGGAAAGAATTTCTCTAATAGGCGCTTCC